AACACCTCTGCTCTCCATGCCATCTTTCGTCTAAGAGGGGGTTCACTCTCTGGGAGTCACCTTTGTGATCCCAGCCCTGATCCGATGTTAGGTTAGAAAAGGAATGAAAATGCAAACTGGTGTCAGACCTGGTGCCTGGGGTCAGGGCCTGGCACGGGCCTCAGGACTGCTGCCTGCTTTCCAGCATCCCTGGATGTGGTCTGGGCCCAGCCACCCCAGGAGAGAGGCAGGAGCCTGTTACAAGCCCATGTGTCAGAAAACTAAGGTCAGGTGAAGAAAAATGACTTCTCAGGGTCCAAGAGCAAATTAGAGGCAGAGCCAGGGTTGGAATCCGAGTCTCCCAGCTCTTAGACTGGCTCCCTGGCTCAGGCCCCAGCTAGGGACAAAGAAGGAAGAACAAGCAAAGGGAGTTGTAACAAGGCTGTGTCCCTCCCTGAAAGCTCTAGGGAAGGACCAGTGTCCTTGCCTTTGCTAGCTTCTGGAAGCACCCACATTCCTTGGCTTGCGGCTCCCTCCTCCATCTTCAAAGCCAGCCACAGTGGTTGAGGCCTTCTCAAGTTGCATTGCCCTGACACTGACCCTTCCGTCTCCCTCTCCCATTTCTGAGGATGCTTGTGATGACATTGAACACACCCTGATAATCCAGAATAATCCCCCAACTCTAGGTCAGCTATTAGCAGCCTGAATTCCATCTGCAACCTTAATTCCCCTCATGTGACCCAACATATTCACAAGTTCCAGCAATTCGAACATAGACATCTTTTGAGTGCCACTATTCTGTCTACCATATGGCCCTTGTCCCAAAGGAGATATATTATGCTGTTCTTGCATTGCTATAAAGAAATACTTGGCCAGGAACAGCGGCCCATGCCTGTAATCCCAGTACTTTGGGAGGCTAAGGCAGGCGGATCACTTGAGGTTAGGAGTCTGAGACCAGCCTGGCCAACATGGTGAAATGCTGTCCCTACTAAAAATACAAAAATTAGCCAGGTATGGTGGTGGGTGCCTGTAATCCCAACTACTCAGGAGGCTGAGGCAGGAGAATCGCTTGAACCCAGGAGGCAGAGGTGCAAGCGGAGATCGCACCACGGCACTCCAGCCTCAGCAACAGAAGCAAAACTCCATCTCAAAAACAAACAAACAAAAAATACAAAAAACAAAAAACACTTGAGACTGGATATTTTCTGAAGAAAAGAGGTTTGATGGGCTCAAGGTTCTGCAGGCTTTGTAGGAAGCATGGTGATGGCATCTGCTCGGCTTCTAGGGAGGCCTCAGGAAGCTTCCAATCATGGTAGATGGCAAAGGGGCAGCAGGTACGTAGCAAAAGCAGGAACAAGAGAGCGAGAGAGTGCTTCACACTTTGTGAGAGACACTATGTGTCACTTTTAAATGACTGAATCTCACAAGAACTCAGTGTCACGAGGGCAGCACCAGGGGATGGTGCTAAACCAGTCACGAGAAATCTGCCCCGTGATCCAGTCACCTCCCACTGGGTCCCACGTCCCAGACAAAAGATTACTGTTCAACATGAGATTTGGGCAGAGACAAGTATCAGGGATGTCTACAAATTGACATCAGGGGACTTCTTTTTTTTTTTTTTTTTTGAGACGGAGTTTCGCTCTTGTTACCCAGGCTGGAGTGCAATGGCGTGATCTCGGCTCACCGCAACCTCCGCTTCCTGGGCTCAGGCAATTCTCCTGCCTCAGCCTCCTAAGTAGCTGGGATTACAGGCACGCACCAGCACGCCCAGCTAGTTTTTTTGTATTTTTAGTAGAGACGGGGTTTCACCATGTTGACCAGGATGGTCTCGATCTTTCGACCTCGTGATCCACCCGCCTCGGCCTCCCAAAGTGCTGGGATTACAGGCTTGAGCCACCGCGCCCGGCCTGGGACTTCTAAAAAGTTGCATTTCTTGTAGCTGCCGTCGGTTGAGATTTGTACCTGCTGCTGTCCTGTGTTCCTCCCTCAAGCCTCCGTCCAGCCGTAGCCTCAGCCTTTGAGGATTTCCCTTGCATTCCACTTCCTGCCTCCTGAGCCTCCCCAGGAAGTGTCCCCTGCGGAGTGTCAGCTCCTGGTGGGAAAGCCCTGGTGCCCACCTTCTCAGCACCTCCCTGTCTTTCTGTACCTCCTGCAAGTGGACTCATGGCCCTGCAGCTGCAGGGGGACAGCACAGCAGGCCCAGGGTGCTGGCCAGGCTCACAGGGGGAGGCCCTCGGGGAAAGGGTTGTCTCCTTCCCCAGATGGGTCAGGGGGCTGCTGGCTGCTGGCAGGGACAGCTCAGAGGGCCGCAGAAATGTCTACAGAATTGCTTCTCCTCCTCCCACATCCTGAAGAGGTTCCTGTGTCTCAGTGCCAGAGCCGGCTGGTGAGATGGGGAAGGTGAGCTGGGCTGTGCGCACGGGCTGCTAGGGGGGCATTTTTGCCACTGTGTATTATTGTTTTATTCCTGGCGCTGCTGGGGAAGGGGGCGGTGGGAGTGAACCCAGGTAAATGACTGAGCCAGGCTCTTCTGGGAACCGGCAGGAGGCCCTGAGTGTGTCCACGTCTCCCTGTGGTGCTGGGACAGCTGGGATTCAGGCTGGGATTCTGCCCCACACTTTTGGACAGTCTGCTCTGGGCTGCCTGGGATCGTGTTAGGTCAAGTCCAGCTCCCTTGCTTCTAAAATGGCTTCCTGGTATCTGGATCCTTGTAAGCCCCTCCCCTTGAGTGTAGGCTGGTCCTAGTGACTTGCTATTAATGGAGAGAACAGCGCAAATGCCTCTGAGATTTGGTTATGAAAGTTCGTCTCTTCGCTTGCCTCACACTCTCTCTCTCTCCTGCTTTCTCTCTGGGGAGGCCAGCTGCCATCTTGGGAGCTATCCCGTGGAGAGGCCCACGTGGCGAGTTGCTGAGGGCAGCATCTGGCCAACAGCCAGCACTGAACTGAAGCCCTCAGTCCACCAACCTGTAAGGAACTAAATCTTGTCAACAACAACCATGTGAGTGAGCTTGGAAGTGGATCCTTCCCCATCAGACCTTGAGATGACAGCAGCCAGACACCTTGATTGCAGTTTGTGAGAGACCCTGAGCCACAGGACCCCGGCAAGCCCCCCGCAGATTCCTGACCCATGGAAACTGAGAGACAATACGTGTTGTTTTAGCCACTAAGATATGGGCTAACTTGTTATGCACAGTGGATAACAAATGCATTCCTTTCTCCTCGGAAACACTAAGTCCCTTTGTATTTGGCCTTCATTCATTCTTCTGGCTCCCCTTGCCTCCCTGAGCCTCCTTCTCTCTCCTTTGTCATCATCTCTTCCAGCCCCAGGTCATAGCCTACCCCTGAACCTCTGGTCTCCACACTCCCCTTCATGGGTGCAGTGTGAGTAGTGTCACACTGATGGCGCTGTCCCTCCAGTAATTCGCCACTGCATATGCTCCTCTGAATTCAGTGATACTTCTCCAGCCCTTGAATACATGTTTGATCTGGATGCTCCTAGAACAATGCAAATCAGTTGCTACGTCCCTCCTCATCTGTTTTCAGTCAGCAATAGATGTTCCCTTTGTGTATTTGTTTTTAGAGACAGAGCCTTGCTCTGTCACCCAGACTGGAGTGCAGTAGTGCAATCTCACCTCACTACAACCTCCGCTTCCCAGGTTCAAGCAATTCTTCTGTCTCAGCCTCCCAAGTAGCTGGGACTACAGGTGTGCACCACCACACCCAGCTAATTTTTTTGTATTTTTGGTAAAGACGGGGTTTCACCATGTTGGCCAGGCTGGTCTCAAACTCCTGACTTCAGGTGATCCACCCACCTTGGTCTCCCAAAGTGCTGGGATTACAGGCATGAGCCATCATGCCTGGCCAGATGTTCCCTTCAAAAGGTGGCTTATAGTTTCCCCAAACCAGAGCTGGGTGCAAATCTCCTGGCCTCCCTCCAATTCATACTCAGCTTCTTACATATCACTTTCAAGGCATCAGATTATCAATGACCTCACTGAAACTGCCTGGTCTGTTTCCCACCTGTCATCCCATGTGAGTCTAGCAAACGGACTGGGGTTGAAATGCCAGCTGTGCCGTATTCTTCCTGTGTGCCCTGATGCACTCGCTTCACTCCCTTGCCTCAGTTTTATACGCTGTGGGTAGAAATTAAAAATTCTGCAGATGTCCTTCAGCAGGTGAAGGGTTACACGGCGGCATATCTGTACCATAGACAGTTACCCAGCGATACAGAGGGATGAACTAGTAACACAGGCAACACTGTAGATGAATCTGGAGGGTTATGCTTGGTGAAAAGAGCCAATTCCAAAAGGCTATATGCTGAACGAGTTCATTTATTTTTTTTGAGACTGAGTCTCGCTCTATCACCCAGGCTGGAGTGCAGTGGCGTGATCTTGGCTCACTGCAACCTCTGACTCCCAGGTTCAAGCAATACTCCTGCCTCAGCCTCCTGAGTAGCTTGGATTACAGGCACCTGCTACCACACCCAGCTAATTTTTTGTATTTTTAGTAGAGATGGGGCTTCACCATGTTGGCCAGGCTTGTCTCGAACTCCTGACCTCAAGTGAGCCGCCCACCTTGGTCTCCCAAAGTGCAGGGATTACAGGCGTAAGCCCCCTCGCCCAGCCTTGAAGGAGTTCATTTCTATAACACTATCAAAATAACAAAATTATAGAAAAGGAGAATAGATTAGTCGTTTTCCAGGGTTAAGGGGTGGCCAGCTGGAGGGTAGCGTGAGGAATCCTGTGGTGACAGAAACGTCCAGGTCATGTCAGTATCTTGGTTGCGACAGGCAACTTCGCTGTGAGGCGGTATCATTGGGGAAACTGAGTAAGGGTACATGGGATCTCTCCATAGCGTTTCTCACAACTGCATGAGAATCTAAAATTATCTCTGAAAAAGTTTAACTTTAAAAATGACACCCACTTTATTGAGTTATATAGAACATAACTTATAAATTAGGGAGTACATTACCTAATAAAAGAAAATGAATGAAAAACATCACCACTGCTTTTTACTCACCAAAATGTTTGTATCTGAAAGTAACAGGTCCACAGGTTTCTAATCTTTCGTCTTGAAATTAACACATCCCACAGAAAACTGGGCGGATGGTGAGACATCGCGCTATGCTCCCTGAGACCGTGCTCGGTGCAGATGAAGTGAGATCGGGTTCCGTAGATGGCAGCTCCTTCCCTCTTCCCTCTGGAGGAGCAGCAGAAATGGGGGAGAACTTAGAGAGATGAAGGGAGGGTGCAGAGTTAGGAAGGCTCGTTAAGACCGGATAACCAAGACTGAGGTGTGGGCCTGTGGTCAAGGGAGAGAGAATTAAGGGGGAGTGGCCACCAGCATTCCAGGTTCTAGCCTTCATTGTACCTTCCACGTGCTGCCCTCTGAGTCTGACTGCCCTCACCTGCTAAAGCCCAGGCTCCCCTCAGACCCAGCCCAGATCCCTTTCCTCAGGAATACTTTTATTCCAGCCAAGATCACTTCTTGTTTGAGCTCCACAATGTAGCTCATAGCAACTGGCTAACATTGGCCTGGATTTCATGTAAATTCTTCACTGGCAAAAACTATCCCACCAGGCTCCCTGGCACAATGCTAGGCACGGAATACACAGTACAAAAATGATTGATGCCTTATATCATAGAGGGATGGCCTTAAGGCCAGGCACAGTGGCTCGTGCCTGTAGTCCCAAAACTTTGGGAGGCTGAGGTGGGAGGATCATCTGAGGTCAGGAGTTCAAGATCAGCCTGGCCAACATGGTGAAACCCCATCTATACAAAAATTAGCCAGGCGTGATTGTATATGCCTGTAGTCCCTGCCACTCAGGAGGCTGAGGCAGGAGGGTTGCTTGAGGCTGGGAGGTCGAGGCTGCTGTGAGCCATGATGGTGCCACTGCACTCCAGCCTAGGTGACAGTGAGACTCTATCTCAAAACAAACAAACAAAAAGCCACCACTAACAACAAAAGCCAAAGGAAGTTTTCTCAATGTATAAAGAGGTCATAAAAATTAAGAGGAGAAAGAACACAACCTGATAGATTAACAGTCAAAAGACACAAGTGGAGAGTGCTCCATTGATCCATGCCAATGATCCTTAAACACACGGACAGGTTCTCAGACCCTCGCAATCAGAGAAATGCAAAAGAAAATGTGCAGCGAGAAATCAATGTTCATCTATTACATGAGCAAAATCCAAGAGTTTCACAACAAACTCAGTGAACAAAGTTCTCTCATATGCATTTCTGATGGGAAGACAAAATGCTATTTATTTTGAAACAGTCTCAACAGAAAGGTTGCCAATAGCCTACAAAGTACTTATTTTGGGGGGGGGGCCATTTGTGAATAAATTGTCAACAGGATACCCCATTGCCCACCTCCCACAACTTGAGTATGTATTTCTTACAGATAAGGATATTTTTTTCTTTTCCTTTTTCTTTTCTCTCTCTCTCTCTCACTTTTCAGACAGGGTCTCACTCTGTTTCCTAGACTGGAGTGCAGTGGCATGATCTTGGCTCACTGCAACTTCCACCTACTGGGATCAAGATTCTCCTGTGTCAGCCTCCTGAGTAGCTGGAATTACAGGCATGTGCCACCAAAGCCAGCTAATTTTTCTATTTTTAATAGAGACAAGGTTTCAACATGTTGGCGAGGCTGGTCTTGAACTTCTGACCTCAGGTGATCCACCCGCCTCGGCCTCTCAAAGTGTTGGGATTACAGGTATGAGCCACCACACCCAGCCTCAGGATGTTGTTTTTCATAACTATAGTAGAGAAACATCAAAATCAGAAAGCGACATTGATGCATTACTACTATCTAATCCTCAGACCCCATTCAGCTTTCTCCAGTTGTTCCAATAATGTCCTTATTTTTTATTTATTTTTATTTTTTGAGACAGAGTCTCACTCTGTCACCCAGACTGGAGTGCAATGGCGTGATCTCGGCTCATTGTAACCTCTGACTCCTGGGGTCAAGCGATTCTCTTACCTCAGCCTCCTGAGTAGCTGGGATTACAGGTGCCCACCACCACGCCTGACTGATTTTTGCATTTTTAGTAGCGACAGGGTTTCACCACATTGGTCAGGCTGGTCTCAAACTCCTGACCTCAGATGATCCACCCACCTCGGCCTCTCAAAGTGTTGGGATGAGCCACCATGCCCGGCCCAATAATGTCCTTTATAGCAAATAAAATCCAGTTCAGAATTACACATTGCGTTTTCACGTGTCTTTAGTTTCTGTCAATATGGAACGATTCCTCAATCTTTCTTTGACTTTCATGACCTTGACACTTTTGAATAAATTCAAGCCACTTAAGTCGTGAAACAGCCCTCGTTTTGGGTTTGTCTGGTGTCTCCTCAAGATCAGATTGAGGTGTGCAAGAATGTCACAGAAATGATGCTGCGTCCTTCTGACTGCATCCTGGTGGGTGGTGCACGTTGCCAATTACTGACAACATTAACTCTTCTTTCAATCACTTGATTCAGATGATGTGTTCCAAGCTTTTCCATTGTAAAGTGACTCTTTTTTCCCTTTGAAATTAATAAGTATTTTGTAGGGAGATACTTTGAGACTATGTAAACATCCCATTCCTCACTAAACTTGCTATTTTTCCCTAGTTGTTTCCGTCAGTGTGGACTATGGGTTATAATCTATTAGTATCTGTCTTAGTCCGTTACATTGCTAGAAAGTAGCGTGAGACTGAGTAATTTATGAAGAAAAGAGGCAGATTTGGTTCACGGTTCTGCAGGCTGTACAGGAAGCACGGTGGCCGGGCACAGCGGCTCACACCTGTAATCCCAGCCAATATGGAAGGCTGAGGTGAGTGGATCACCTGAGATTTGAGACCAGCCTGGGCAACACGGTGAAACCCCATCTTTACTAAAAATAGAAAAATTAGGTAGGCATAGTGCCGCAGGCCTATAATCCCAGCTACTTGGGAGAATGAAGTGGAAGAATTGCTTGAATTCAGGAGGTGGAGGTTGTAGTGAGCCAAGATTGCACCATTGCACTCCAGCTTGGGAGACACAGGGAGACAGAAGGAAGAAGGAGAAGGAGAAGGAGAAGAAAGAAGGAGAAGGAGAAGGAAGAGGAGGAGGAGGAGGAAGTGGAAGAGGAAGAGAAAGAGGAAGAGGAAGAGGAAGCGGAATCAGAAGAAGCAGCATAGCACTGGCATCTGCTTCTGGTGAGGGCTTCACTAAACTTCCACTCGTGGCGGAAAGCAGGTGTGTCACATGGTGAGATAGGAAGACAGAGAGGAGGAGGTGCCAGGCTCTGTTTAACTATCAGCTCTCAAGGGAAGTAACAGAGCAGGAACTCATTCATTACCTTGAGTGGGGCATCAAGCTGTTCCTGAGGGATCTGTCTCTATGACCCAAACACCTCCCACTAGGCCCTGCCTCCAACACTGGGGATCAGATCTCCACATGAGATTGGGAAGGGAAAAATATCCAAACTATATGAGTACTGTTATTGGCCGGGCACGGTGGCTCACACCTGTAATCCTAGCACTTTGGGAGGCCGAGGTGGGTGGATCACCTGAGGTCAGGAGTTCAAGACCAGCCTGGCCATCATGGTGAAACCCCATCTTTATATTAAAAAAAAAAAAAAAAAAAAAAAAAAAGTACTGTTATTTTGGTGCTCAAATTGTCCCATATTCTGCCAGTGGCGGCCCCTTCTGCACCCGTCACTCTATAAGCATGTCCTACTCTCACATGGGATATGCCCTGGACTCCACTTGTCCCAGCTCTGGAATCTGCTATTTCTGCAGGCAGATCCAGTGGCTTCCAGTAAAGAGTGGTATTTAGAAACCAAGTTCTGGGCACTAGCTTTACTTATGGCTATTAAGGTTTGATTGTGTCTAGGTGCTCTCAGTGGACAGAACAAGAGAATGGATATATTCCTGAGGTGTCTGGTGGGGGAAGGGGCTAAGTTAGCATTCAGAAGCTGGGGGACGTTAGTGGAAGTTGTATAGAAAATCCAATAAGAGAGTAAACACAGTTGGATAAAATATGGTGAACTGGCACATACAAAACCATACAGAGTGAACTTGTATCTAGGATTTTCTCTGTGAATGAGGATAACGGCGTTTCATGGGTTTACAAAGCACTTTTGTATTCACTCTATTCTGACGTTCACGACGTCTATGGGGCGCGTGCGCCGCCATCTACCCAGCAGCTTTGGGCCTTTGCAGAGCTGGCCGCTCATCCATGATTCCCAGGAAGTGAGCTGGCTGGCAGCTGCCTGTGGTTGTAAGGAAGTGACAGTGCACAGGGACTGCCCAACCTCTGAAGGAATCCCCAGGAAGACGTGATCAGGCCAAGAGGAAGCTTGTCCTTCTCAAAGGGGACTTCTTCCCCTCACCGCTCAGGAGCAGCCACGAATGACAGTGAACCAGGGAGATTCTCCCAGGAAGTCAGGCCAGGACCTGGCTCCACTGGCAAGATGTGAGCCCTGGCTGGGTGTTATGGCCACAGACAGGTAGCCCCTGCACACTCTTTCCTGTCTAGCTTCTCCTAAAGCCAGTCTTCATTGTGGATCATCTATTTTCTCTCCACCATTGCACATATGGTGTTTTGGGGTGGTTGAGTTTACAACTTAACCGCAGGGTACAGGATAAGAAGCCATAGTGAGACCTCATGGACAGGCATGCACATTACTCAGACATCTTGATCTCAGAGCCGGCCATGACTTGGATTATCTTCTTCACAGAGAGTAAATGCATTTTTAGTTGTGGAGGGGGCGGTGGGTTCTTTATATTAGCAGAAACATTTTTAATGATATATTTTCTATTGAGATGAAATTCATATAACATTAAATTAACCACTTTAAAGTGTATGATTTGGCTGGGTGCAGTGGCTCATGCCTGTAATCCCAGCACTTTGGGAGGCCGAGGCGGATGGATCACCTGAGGTCAGGAGTTCAAGACCACCCTGACCAACATGGTGAAACCCTGCCTCTATTAAACAAAAAAGTAGCCAGGAGTGGTGGTGCATGCCTGTAGTCCCAGCTACTTGGGAGGCTGAAGCAGGAGAATCGCTTGAACGCTTGAGGCGGAGGTTGCAGTGAGCCAAGATCGTGCCATTGCACTCAAGCCTGGGCAACAAGAGCAAAACTGTCTCAAAATAAATAAATTAATAAAATAAATAAAGTGTACAGTTCAGTGACATTTAGTCCATTCGCAGTGCTGTGCAGCCA